GCAACCACGGGGGCGTGCCCAGGGGCGGGGGGTGGGGGCCTGGCGGAGGGTTTGTGTAGGTGCGTGGGTGGGGGTCTCGGGTGAATACAATGGTTGGGTGAGAGTGGCTGCTCTAGCAGTAGTGGGTAACAGTGGATTGTTGGCTGCGTGACGCCCCACCATTAGTGGAGTGGATGGGTATGGTTGGGACAACCAATGGTGTAGAGTGGGTGGAAGTGCTCAAGCAATGTACGCGGTGATAAGTTTATTTTTTGGTCAGAAACAGGTAACAGAGCAAGAAAGAAGCTTAGAGAAGTAAAGACTATGCGCTTGAACTAAATGTTTATTCAATGTACCATGACGGTAGTTGTTGACGAACGTTTATGCAATCACTTGGGGAGTGCCAGTTCTTGCTGTTCTAATGTTTTGAATGATGGTGTGGTAATCTTAACCTTTGATTTTTTCGTAGGTTTGAAGCGAATGTAACCGATTAGAAAAAGTACTACTAGAATCAATAGTGCTATTAGGACAATGCCGAATGTGAGCGTTGAATGCGTTTTAAACTGTCCCCAAAATAGAATTTCGGAAGGCTTAGTGGTATTGGTGATAAGTTCAATAATAGATTGCATATGCAATGGAATGTACGACAGTTTTTCCCACTGAGTACTGTTATGTATGAAGGAGTGTAGGTTAATGACTTCCTGCTAAACAGCATTCACCGTTAATTTTTGGTATAGAACTAATCTGGAGTGGGATTGAATGGGAAGCCCAGGCAAGTAGAAATAATCACAAGATAAAGCGGCTCCGTCTTTAGCCGAAAGTAAGGAGGTAGGTGGTAGAGTTATTGCATTATTATTCATAATTTTATAGTTATCAGAATCCATCGGAGTAGCTCGGTGACATTTTGTGGAAGAATTCATGGAAATGGCCCAAAAATTTCTGACTTTGCGCACAAATATTGGTTCGAGATACGACTCTATGCGGCATGATTTTAGTGGCGCGCTGGTTAAAACTTGATAAATACACATATCCTCAAGATCTTTCCGGATAACTGGGTTTACACGACAGGACGTCATCACTTCAAAGCAGCATGGCTCTGCTTCTTCTGGAGACCATCGTACAAATTGGCGAGAATCGGGTTGAATCGCCACGTAAGCCGGCATTTGAGCAAGTCTTACACGTTTCTGTTGGTGATTAAACGGAATAGGTATTGGCTCATAAACAAAGAACGGCTTTTCATCATGGTTTGAAGCGGCAAAATACGAAGTAAACACGAGTTCACCTATGATTACACCAAACGTTGAGGCTCTCATTTGGATTGTAGGGATACACACTATCTCTTGACGAACGAGTAACCGAGTTACTAAATCTATCATTGATATGGAGCTATTGTTATCTTCAAATGAGATGTTCGTTGCGTTTATCACATATTCGATTACTTTTGGTATATCATCGTGATGGATAAAATGTAAATTAAGATTACCTTTGAGAATACCCTCAACGTTATGCATAAACGCATTAAGTTTGTTATTAATGAAGGTGGAAAATTCGCCAATTCTTCTTATGGCATCATCATGTTCTCGAAGGGTATCAGTATGTTGGTTAACAAGGTGCATTGTTCGATTAATTGCTTCTTGAGTACTGTTAAGTTCCATAGCTAGTTTGAATTGTCCATCTGTGAGCTGCAAAATCTGAGCATCTTGTGTATATTTCGTTTTTTGAAGTACTCTAATTGTTTCTGTAACAGACTTCATCTCTTGCTTTAGGCTTGCTGTCTGAATCATATTCATGGTGGATAAAGATAGAGCTGCACTACTCATCCCAATAGAGACAATATCAGTCAAAAATCTTTTGCGTCTTCTTAACAATTTAGACGTTTTTCTGACTGTTGTTGCCGAGTCGCGGTTAATAAAGTTTACCGTGTCAATTGTTAAGTTACAACGAGGAATTTTTTTCAAAGCAGAAATGGGAATTAGATAGCACATATCAGCAACCATTGGGATCACTGTCGATAACGTAACAATCTTATTCGCCGGTCGATAATCCGATTTATACTGTAAAATCAGTCCGGACGTGGGATGAACTATATCCTGCTTTGCTAAGATCCAATCATCGGATTTGCTGAGTTTTGACAGGCTAATTGTTACAAGTACAACAAGAGCTTTCAAGTTCCGGACTACCATATTCACCATTACTCTGGCTCTATTCTGTTATTGTTCTGCTATTGTATGTGTGGTGTTATTCGATTTTGACCCGTGCTTCTTTGGTAATAAGCTTTTTCTTCAACCCGGTAATCCCAACAAATTCAAAGCATCAACATACCAAAGCTTTAATATACTGTATCATATTAAGTATGATACTTCCTTTATATATATACGCAAGTACGCAATTATTTTCTTTTACACTGCCGTACTATTTCTTCATTCGATAATCAATGTTTCGTAATGTCCAATATTCTTCGTACAACATATACACACATAATTATATCTATCGTCATCAGTATCAATTATATAATTGTCTTCATAATTTCTACCAATATCAAACAAATTATCATCATAAAAATCACCATCTTCATTAAATAAATAATCGTTCTGTAAATCATCACCAACACAAACTAAATGTTGTTCATGAGTAACATCAACTGCATCAACATCATCTTCAAAATTCTGATTATTAAGTGATGAGGATAAATTCTTTTCAATCTAAAAACAAACAGAACTTAAAAAGAATTTTTTGTCAATAATATAGTTTGGGTGTGGGTGTGAATAGGATCAGATACTAACATCCACATCCTCAAGATGTTTTTTGATCTTTGACTATGACCGAAACACATACACGCACACACACACATACATACAAACTATTTTTTTTTCATATGACCCTCCTTTCAGTCGAGGGAATAAAAATCATTTTGATTGATATGTTGATTGTCGAGAAAAATTTAATTAAATACTACTTGTAAATATACTTTTTCTTCATATTTTTATTGATCCGATAGACCTATTGACATACTGATAAGAACCAACCTATTGATTTTTATTAATATCATTGGTTTTTCTACAGAGTCATTCAATTGATATATTCAACGATGTCGTCCACGACTACTCATGATCAAAATACAATGACAGATTCTGTTGTTATAATGATGATCGAAGAAAAAAAATCCGATATTCAACGAAAAACTAGATTATGTTGTGGTATCTCCTTGAATAGTTTAACAAAGATTGCTATCCATTTAATTTTACCATTAACATTGGGTATATTTACAGTAGCAATCACATTTTATCAACAAGAAGTATCTAAACAACAACAACAAGAAGATCGTGAATTAGCACGTATTCAACGAGAACAAGATTTAAATATATCTGCTGCACAACGTGAACAAGATAAAATTATCGCACGAGAACAACGTGAAGAAGATGAATTACGACGTTTTCAAGATTTAAATATATCTGCAGTACGACGAGATCTTGATCTTCATATTGCTGAATTAAAACGAAAAGCTGATGATTTAAATGCTGAAAAACAACGTAATATTTCACAAGAACAACGTCAGTATGAATTTCATATGGGACAACAACAACAACAAAAACAAATGACAGTTGAGTTTGAACAATATGAACAAGAACGAACTAAATATCATGCACAATTATCTTTATCGTATATGAATGAAATTAGTAGTCTTTTAGAAAAATATAATGGATCACTTAATTCAAATCCAATATCAGCTGCACTTGGCCGTGCAAAAACACTAAATGTCATTGGACAACTTGGTTCTAATAGATCAAGACCTTTAATTGAATTCCTTCATGATGCAAAACAACTAACAACAAAAAAGAATCCATTAGATCTTTCTGGTGCACAACTTAATGGAATTGATTTTCGTGGTGCAACAGGTTTATATACACGACAAAATCTTGCACTTATTGGAGTTCATTTAAATGATGCAATATTTGAAAATATGGAAATATTTCAATGGGATTTTACTTCTACGTCGTTAAATGGTGCTAATTTTCGAAATTGTAATATTACTAATACAATATTTGATCGTGCATCTTTGATTGGTGCTGATTTTTCTTCAAGTTATTTGGATATGAATACATTTTCTAATGTCGATCTTTCAATGAGTAATTTCCATACATCAATTATTAGATCAAGTTATTTTCATGATGCTAATCTAATTAAAGCGAATTTTTCTAATATTATATCTGACGCAAAAAGTATTGATAGACATTTACGTTTTACTTATTCAAATCTTATCTCAACAACATTTCGAGATGCTTACTTATCTAAGGTATATTTTCGTTTATGTAATATGACATATACTGATCTTAGTCGAACGACTATATGGAATACACTTTTTTTTGGAAGTGTATTAGCATTTACTTCAATTGTCAACAGTACACTTCCTCTCAGATTAAGTAGTTTTCCGTATGCTAATTTATCACATGCTGATCTATCAGGTAAATTTACAGATATACTTACGACAAAGTCTGACAAAATGATAGCCTCCTTTTGATCTCTTATTGGTCTCCTATTGTTGAGATGTCTCATACTGTCGCGGGCTCCTGAGAAATATTCGAAAAAACTTATGTTGAAATTTTGTACAGAGAGTGAGAGAGGTCTCACTAAACGGATAGTTTATTTCAAGAGTTTCCGTTTTGCTGAGTACTCTTTATTCTAAAAAGGAATGAATCTGGAACTTTCTTAGTAGACTATCCTCAATTAAATCTCTCTCTATACTAAGTTTCAGTTCACAATATGAGTTTTTCAGATATCCTTGAAGAGAACCACAGCAATGAATCATCTCAATGAAAAGATTTCTAAAATTTTAATCAGAAATCATTTGGACGATAAATATTTTGAAATTTAGTATCATGTCATATTTTAATTTATAGGAAGTACATGTGTAGAAAAGAAATGTGAAGGTGATACGGTTCTTTCTTTTCATAATGCACTTTTCCATGATGGAAGAATAGGTCGACCTCGTAGTACAATTATTTCAGGAGGTAATGCTTCTTTTTGTGAAGCATATGATTCTATCACTCATGTAAGTTTACAATTCTTTCGAAAACGTTTCTCTTTTTTTTTACTATATTTTATTACATATTAGGCACAGGTACTTTTGAATGTCTGGGAAAAACAACCTATTAATGATTTTGTTTTACGACGAGAGCGAACTATTAATAATCAATGTGTTTATTCAATGAAGAAAAATGAAACAGGAAAATTGTATCAAAAAGTTCGATTAAGTAAGATTATCTTGAAAATATTGATGATCTTCTTTGATTTTTATCATTTACTTAAGATGGACCATATAAACCAAGTTTTGATGATCTTGTTAGTAATCGACAAGCAGTAGTTATTTTTCGTGCTATTATAAGTGAAGGTGTAGAAATTTTTATTGAAGAAAAAGCCGATACACAACGAATATTACTCAATCATACTTTATCTCGTGTTGGAGCTGTAGATAATTCACCACTTGTAACATCATCTCCAATTTTATTACATTCAGAAACAAAGGAATTAATTTTTCGTATTAATTTCTATAAACCAGGACTTATTCGATGGTTACATTGGATTGATATTGAAATTAATCCACTTTTTTCACATTAAAACATTATTATAGAACTATTCTATGTGATTTTCTAATGCTTTTGTTATACAGCTTTGCTCGTATCTTTTTAGATTGTCTTTTGCAAATTTATGTTGTCTGTCCAAAATGAAATTGTTTTATTAAAGATGACAATATAGTTGCTGAAATGAACTAATATGATATATAAACAAACATCTCCAAATCATCAATGGATTTTTTACATTAATCTATTTTCATTTTGCATTGAAATATTATCAACTAGTACAATTCATTGTGAAACAACTATCAATCCGATAGAATTATTAAGACCACATTCTTTTTATTCAAGCATTTTAGAAATTGAATCTAATAATTTTCGAACAAAAATCGACGATTTCTGTATCTTATCAATTCGTATTGAACATCTTATTGTGAGTATTACTTTAACTACAGAAAATATCGATGATGGATCTGAAGATCAAGCTTCTCTTAAAACATATATCAATTTGGAAAGTAAAACATTTCGTAGAGAATATAACTTTATATGTTCTGTACGATATTGCAATATTAATTATTTAAGAACGATTTTAATTACTGGTGAACTCAATTGGTTATTACATCTAACCGATTATTCATATATTTTGTTATCATTACAATCATTACTTTATAGAGAAAAAGATAAACAAAATGCTAGTTTTCGATGTTATGTTGATGGTAAAAAACCGATATTATGCGAAAATGGTACATGTGAGGCGAGATATTCAAATCTTACTGATGAATATGAAAAATTTTGTCGGACGAAATTTCATTTTATTTCTGAACGATATTTTATTGATATTATCACATGGGCAAAACCCAATTTTTATGAAACAAAAGTACGAACTTTACAATATATGTGCAATGTTAATCTGTGTAATGGATGGGAAATAGTTGAACAAGTTTTAACTTTACTTAATGTAGAAAATGATACTTTAAATTTATTTTGGCCATCAAAAGATAGTTTCAAGTTTACTACAACGACAACTCAACGAAGTACTTCTACTTCTATCACCAAACCATTTATTTTATCTACAGAATGTTTAACAAATTTGAGTTTTCTGAGTACGAATCATACAACTAATAGAAATACAATAATGACAACGAATATTTTACAGACTTCAGATAATAAACTGGAAAGTGAATCATCGATAACCAATTCAGATCTTAGTTTTATTTCGCCTATATATACATCAACAAAGAAAAAGATTTTTAACAATACTTGTCATCTAGAAATGGCGAACATGTATATTTATTATTTACTAATTCTTTATTTTATTATGTGAAGTGATGTCACATATCCCGCTGATCGGGGATGCTTGGACATGCCTGCAGGACGCGAGAGATGGACTATATCCCAGGGAGATGCAGCATCTCCCTAAGGAGATGACCCATATATCGCATCTCCATCTCCCGTCTCCAAGTCACCCACACCCACACCCACACCCACACCCTGCCTCAGAACTTATTCAAATTTCCTCTCTCTCTCTCTCTCTCTAATATTCATTCTACACTCCAGCTATTCATTCA